TTATTATAACTTCTCCTGTCTGTGTCTTTAGCCCTTGCCTTAATACGCACTATTAATACAGCAAAAGCATTAATATACTTCAAGCCGTCGCGGAGTCCGGTAAGCCGCTTATCCTACGCGTGCTTATTAATAACACAGGCTATAGCAATCTTATACTACAGGGTTGGAAACAATAAATTAATGGATTGCTAAGTCCCGCTATCGTAGTTAGGTCGCCTCGATAGGCTATTAGTAGGGTTACTTACGCCTAGCCGATATAATATATTAAAATCAAACCTAGCGAGGTAGACGGCCTATCTAGCCTATCGACCTGTAACTCTAGTAACCTTAGTAATGCTACGGAGGTTGTTATAGTCTGTATAGACCTATATCGTATATTAGGCCCTATCGAGGTAATGCCTCTAATACTTAAAGGCCTCGACAATAGCTAAGAGCTCTTACTCGTAGGTCTCGTAGCGACGCTTAGTATTAATCATCTTTCTCGAGAAAAAGGCAATTAGATACTAGTAGTAGTTACTGTCTAACTGCTAAGACATTATAGCTAATATAGCGAACTGTAAAGCGTTAGTCTCAATTCGGATCTACTTATTTAGTATAAAATAGTATAATAAAGGGACTTTAGTAAATCGCTTCTTTAAACCGTTAAAAGCGGCTTATGCTCTATTAGTCCATTTGAACTCTCTAGTTAGGTTGGCCTTGGTTTTAGTAAGCTTAGTTAGGGGCATTATATGCCGTAAATAGCCCTTAATAAAGCGACGATAGAAATTAGCGAAGCCGAGGAATAATTAAAGCTCCTTAATACTAGTAGGGGTTAGCTACTTAGTAATAGTCTTAATCCGATTAGGATTAGCCTTAATACCCTCGGTTAATACGAGGAAGCTAAGGAAGGACACCTCTTTAGTAGCAAAGGTGCATTTAGAAGGTTTATAATACAAGCTATAGGCTCGTAGGCGATCGAGCACCTTGCGGACTATAGCCTAGTACTCCGCAATGTTAGGTAAATGTATATAAACCAGGATATTATCTAGGTAAACTATACAGAGATAGTCTAATAGGCCTAAAAGGGCCCGATTAATATAGGACTAAAATGTTATAGAGGCATTAGCTAGGCTAAATAGTATAACTAAGTATTCGAAATGGCTATAGCGAGTACGGAAGGCTGTTTTCTATTCGTCGCCCTTACGAATGCAGATACGATAGTACGCATCCTTAATGTCTAGTATAGTGTAGTAGTAGGTACCCGAAAGGCGATCGAGGGTCTTATTAATAAGAGGAAGTAGATAGCGGTCTTTAATAGTAACAGTATTAAGCCCTCGATAGTCGATATATAGACGTAGGCTACTATCTTTCTTTAGTACGAATAGGATAGGTGTACTAGTAGGGCTGTTACTATACCGAATTCGACTATTAGCTAGGTTTTCCTCTAGGTACTTACGCAATATAGTAAGCTCTCGTTTACTAAGGTTATAGAGGGGGCTAAAAGGAACCTCCTTACTCTCTATAATATCAATCTTATAATCCGTCTCTTTAAATATAGGCAATGTCGATGCTAAGTAGTGTTTAAATACATTAATATAGGTCTCTCGAATAGGTTCTAGTATACGCTTAAGTTGTTTAGGATCTATGCTATTAGGGGGCACTAGTTTATCGTTATTACTACCGAGCAGGTCGGCAGTTAGATTAGCTAAGGCGGAGGCTAGTGTTAGGTTACTAATAAACAGGACCCTAATATTATTAGGACACTCGCTAATATCGATGTGTTTAATGTCCTCTTTCCTAGCGATTCTAAATCGCTATTATTAACTGCCTAAGTCTATAACTATAGTATAGTACCTAAGAATAGGGTTTCTAATAACAATGTTAGATAGGAGGCTATCTATATCTACCGCGTAGGCAGTAAAGTTTAGTAGGCGTTTATTTCCGAGGTCGTCTTTTAGAACTATAGGAATATAGTAGGCTCTATAGGTTAAGTGCCGAGCGTTATTAAACTAAGCAAGGGTTAGTAGGTTAGTCCTCGGCAGTTGTCGAAGGTCTAATTGCTTAGCTAGGCGATAGCTAATAAGGGCGCTAACTGAATTTCCGGGGTCTAGTATAACCTTTGCCTTATAGTTAGTATCGGGCCTAGATATAAGACAGGTACGTATAATAGCTAGTACAATATCGATAGTCTTACGCCGTACGAGGCTAATAGTTAGTGCGGCGCTTACTCTTTTTTCGAAGGTTAGCCTATAGGGGTAGCGTTAGCTGCTAAGAGGTACTTTCGGTGCTTAGCGGTAGCACGGTCGATTCGGGCCTAGTCCTTAGGTTTGTCGCATTAGCCTAGTAGATAGCTAGTGCTATTATAATTGAAGTACTTCAATCCGGTTAGTAGACTACCGTAGCTGTTATTGCTGCTATTATTAGTCGAGCGATTAGTATTATAGGGATACGAGCCCCTTCTACGGCCCCTATCGCGGCCTCCTCTATATAGCCGCCGGCTACGGCCTCTTCTACGGTCGCTATTACTGTTTCTATTGTTAGCATTATTGTTTTAGTAGGACCCTTAGCTATTGCCTCCGCGGGTACTACGATTGCCGCGGTTAGTGCTAGCTAGTCGGATCCTCGATTCTAGTCGTTACTAGAGCTAAACAGCCCGCTCGGCTGTTTCTACTTCGACTATAAATTAAATACGTGTTAGGTTAGCCTGTTTAAACACACGGCGGCGGTCTAATTTAAGGACTAGTTCCTATCTTAGTTTAGGTCGTATCTTAGATATCTAGATAGAGTCGGTTTTAGGTAGTAAATCGTCCTCGAGGGTCTTTAAATAGGCCTTAAATAAGCGAGCCGATTAATTAGTCTTTTGTTTAGCTCGAAGGTATTAGTCCTAAGCGTATTGTTGCCTTAGTATAGGGTTTCTAAGGGTGTTAAGCATAATAGTCTTGTAGTCTTGCTACTAAACAGCGGTCTAATTAGTAAGGGAGTCGAAATAGTTATCCTAGGTGCGCTTTAGGTCTCTATTAATGTATTACATAGCATAGACGACTAACGAGTAGTCGTCTAGAAGGGCCCTTAGCGCGTTTCGCTAGTTAAGCTCGCAGTTACGGATGTGGTCGTTGTATTGTTTCCGACTAGAGCTATTAAATACGATATAGTCCTTAAGTTTAGCATCCTTCTTTTAGACTAAAACAGATAGAGAGGAAGGCCCTACTATTAGTTTAGTATTAGTCGCTAGGGCTTCTTATAGGCGACGAATTTCGAGGAGATTATCCTTTAGCTATTGTTCCTAGCGTAAGGTAGTAAGCCTGTTTTAAGTAGCTTCTTAAAGTCTCGCTACTAGCTAGGGGCTAAAGGCTAGCTAGCTATATCGTCGATTAATAATATTATTAAGTATATCGTTAATAGGCAATTCTAGGTCGTCGCCTAGAACTATAGGTTCTTCGGCAGGCCTAGTAGTAGGTTCTTTAGCAGGTGCTTTAGTAGGCACTTTAGTAGGTACTTCGGTAGGCACTATGCTACTAGTATTGTTATTGCTAGCGCTGCTAGTAGCAGCACGGTTGTTGTTTTGTAACGAACCGGCTATTATAAGGGGCGACACTAATAATGTATTATTAGCCCCTAAGATACGGATGTAGCGGAATTAGTAGATATTAGTCTAGTACAATTAACTTAGTATAATAGGCCGTGTAGAAGGCCTTGCTTAATAATTGGTACGGTTGTTTCGATAGAATAGTACGTATAGGTCCCGTTCTTCGGGCGTAATATAGTTAAATCGATAGTTTTCGTAGCTATACCGCTAAAAGCTTAAAATAAGGACTATCTAGCTGCTGCCCTTAAAGGGTAGATCGAATACTATATAAGAAGGGTTATGTTAGTAGGTAGATAGGGTAGTAGTAAATTAGTATAGTATTCGATAAGGAGCTAGGAGAAGAGGGAGGAAGGTAGGAGAGTTAGCCCGACGCTAAGCGCTAAGCCCTGCCTAAGGCATTAAGACCCTAGCTTTACTCGGCCTAGTTACATGCCAATTACGTATAGCCTCTTTAGCCCTAACAAAGTGCCTCTATTACCTATCCCTATACGGCTTAAAAGAGGAGGCGGCTCTATAGACCGTACTAACAAGTTAGACTTAGCATATAGTAATTCAAACTACCGAACTATCGATTATAGATAAGCCTTAAACATAATATAAAGAGAACGATAACGATAAGTAACTAGGGCGAAATAGAGATTAAATAACGAATTCGTAGCTATAAGGCTACGAACATTTTATAATCCGATTAGCAAACTCCCTTATACGCTCGACTATCTAACCGGTTGTCTTAACCTATTTAGATCTCGAACTAAGCCGCGCATTCTAGCCTAGAAGATACCTCGACTTAGGACTTAATATATATTATACGCAGTTCCTAATCTCCTCGCAAATCGCTTAATACGCCGCGACAATATCGACGGTACTATAATCCGAGTTCGTAATGCTTACTATACGGACGGGCTACTTAAGAACTTAAGGGACAAGGTTTCTATTCCGTTAGAAGATCTCGATAGTAGAGAGGTACACTTCTACGCGGTATCTTAAAGTTCCCTATATCTATAATATGTCCTAGATCTCCTCGGGAGACATATAGTAATAGAATAAATAGCTAATCGGATAGGAATATAGAGAGGTTTTCGTTTAAACCGTAATGTTTATCCTGCTTCGCTACTATAATACCGATTATACCGTAATTTATCTATATTATAGAAGTATCCTTTAAGTTAGTTACGTCTAGGCCCTATCGCCGGCCTAGTAACTAGCCGTGAATTTTTCTTCCTAGTAGTTCTTTCTTGCGCTGTACAGTAATTAGCAACGACCTTTTCTATAATAGCTAGTCGAGAAATAGTAGACCCTACCCCTCCGTAAACAAAGCTCGCTCTAGTATAGGTAGTTAGTTATACCTAAGCCCTAGGTCCTACGCCTCCTATAGATCGAAAGTAGTAGAGATAGTCTAGCAGATTTCGCTATACGAACTGTATCTTTATAGTTACTAATTACTATCTATAGTAAGGATAGCATTAAAGTGTTTGTTATTTGAATATATACCGGAAAATATATCTGCGATTTCCGATATAAGATCCTTGCTCTAAGGACTAACTACTACGTAGGACTTCGGAGGCTATAGGAAGAAATAGATATAAGATTTATCGAGATAGGAAGGTTCGGGGTAGGAGTAAGAGTAGATTCTAAACAGTGATTATTTTTGATACATAGAACAAGCTACCACCCATCGAACCAAAATCATAAAAGTTACAAGTCAACAACAAAAGGTCTAATTAATCATAGTACCTCTTTTGCCTCCTGCCCTCACCACCACCCTCATAACGCTGACTGCCAGACTCCAACACTTCATCAAATCCATCACCCTCCATTTGATCTCTCAGATTCGTTCTCTCAAGCATATCATTCATCCTTCTTGTCTCGTCTTCAACAGCACGCATCTGCTCTCGTTGAATAACACGATCACCACGTTCCGCCAAAGGATCCATTCTCGCCGGCGGAAGAGGAGGAGGAGGAGGAGGAGGATTGTGCACTTGGACATTGCCATATCGCGGAGTGCGAGTTGACAAATGAGCGCCTCCAGTGGTATCAGTCATCTGCCTGGCAGAAGGTAGAGGCCGGCGTTGTTGGATTGGCGACGTCGGGTATTCGCATGTGTTTTTTTCCATCGATCGCGATGAAGAAGCTGGGCTGGAGGGCTCGAATGGATTTGGGGTATAGCTAGCACTGTCCCGAGCTTTCTTTTTGAGCTTCTCCTTCTCGATCTGCTGGAACTCGGCAGCCAGCTTGCGATCGTTTTCGATTTGAGACCTTCGTTTATCGGCCTCTTGTGCTCCTTCAAGGGCAGCCTGAGTCTCGCGTCGAATGCGACGTCTCCTCTCATTGGAAGACTCTCGTAGCGTATCGTCATCAATAGATGGACGCAAGTCATCTTTTGCTGAGATGCGCTTGCGCTCGGATTTGGCAAGCTGGTCCCTCAGCATTTGTGCATCACGCTCTTCCCGACTCTGTCGATACGAATCCTGAAGAGTCGAGTCGGCTCGATGACGTGTGTCTGTCTTCGAGGAATCCCGTAGTGGCAGGTCGATCCCGGAATCTTGCTGAGAGTGGCCAAGTCGAGGAAGATTGCTCAGTCCTGGCGATGAAGCGGACGATGCAGTGTTGGATGAGACGTAGTTGCGATAACCTGGTATACTGAGACGATCTGGTCGATTCCAAGAAGATGGCCTTTGTCGCGGCGGAGCATCATCAACCTCGCCTGTCAAGGACGAAATTGATGACTGACGTTCTAGGCGATCATTCGATCGACCTGTATTTGGCATTCGAGACGAAGCCACTCTAGAGTAGGTTGCGGTCCCGTCTGGGGCGATAATCCTGGTGGTATCGTCAGGTAGGTCGAATGAGACCCTACGAGGAGTTTGCAGTGATGGTCTGTCAGTCAGTGGTGGCGGCGATGGTGCCAAGGGCATTGTAGTGTAGGGTGAGTTGAGCGGTAGTGAGGAAGTCGGGCTATCCATTCGTGATTGACTATGAATAGGCCTTGATCGAGCAGTCGAAGTGCGCTTGCTTGATCGTCGGCTCAGTTCAACATATCGTCTTTGACGGCCACTACTGTCGGTGGTGATGATCTCCCTTGATGGTGGTCGACGCTCCCCAGATGGATTCCTCTCTTCGACTCTTACGGGACTGAGATGTTTGTATTCAACGATGTCACAGATGCCGTCAACTGGTGCTCTGTGACAACGCTTCGCAATCCTGGTGCTTTCTCTTTGGCCTTCTGAGAAGATCTTGGTCTGCGTCTCAACGATGCACATTGTGTGGAATACGGAAAGGGCTGATTGTACTTCGTTTCAGTGACACTCGGGTGACTGAGCGAGCTCGAGAAGATTGGTGCCTGCCGGTAACGTGATCGGACTGCGTTTCTCGGCAAATGCCTGGTGAGTGAAAGGGTCTAGGGTCGACAATATATCCTGTGGCGCAATTCTGGTCGAACAGTTCTCGTGCAGTGGCTGCAGCCTCTTAATCGTGGCGGGATTGTGTGCTGCTAAGCTTGCGCCTTCCAAATGGGAACACAATGATACAAAGACGCAGGTTCATGCAGGTACAGGTTAGCAAACATCTCTCAGGCTGGGATCGGCGGTATAAGAAGATTGACCAGCAGTGAACCTCTCGCGGTGGGGTCCACGGGTCCGCGAACAGTCGGTTGGTTGTGTCTGTGCGCGTAGGAAGTAGGAATAGCAGCTTTGCTGTGCTCCGCCGCATGGTATGGCTGTAGCGGCCCGTGTGTGAAGGAAGACCAAGATACACGCGCCACGCCCTCTTTCGTGAGCGACACGTGTCCACCTGCCATCTTCGTGATGATAGTCTCTTACAAGACTTTGTATGCGTTCACACACGCCCCGGACCGTATTCGCCGTGGTACTGTCGACGAAATTCGTGTAGCAGGACGATGTTTCGAAACCAGGAGGGAGGCTGAAGGTGAAGCACAGCCACAGCCCCCCCTCCCCTCCCCCGGCCTGTGCTGGCGGCCCGGACCAAAGATGCCAAGCTTGCCTCGGGAGGAAGCATGGCAATTATTCTCCGACGAGCCCATGATGGCATGAGCGACGACATCGTCCCTTCCCTTCACAACTGACGCGCATCAACGACACCTGCATGGTCTATCGAATCTATTGACCAGACAATTGACGCGGCTGGTCGCTTTCGTAGCATCAATTTGCCTCAACTGCTTCGCCATCACGATCACATCAGATAGACATTACCATCCGGCCTCAACCTGCTGTTCCACCGCTCGCTCGCTCCTCGTACACCCGTCCGTCCTCCGAACCCATGTCGAGCTGACGCGAAAACAGATTCAGGATCAATAAGGCCAAACCCTCAGCCTCAGGTGGCTGGGTGGTGATCCTTCGAGCCACACGCTGGCTCGGGAAGGGAAGGGAAAGGAAATTTCTACATTGATTCCCCTCGCCTGGGATTTCTATTTGTTGGCTCGTCGATGATTCGTGATGACCATTGCTGGCGTGGATTCGACATTCCTCCTGCAACACCACTCTACATTGTTCCATCGGGGGCTATCGTGCCGAAAGCGGGTAAGTCGTTCGTCAGGAAATAGTTCCAGTCAAATTGTGAGTCCAGCATGTCCATACTCCAGTCCTCATTGCTCGAGCCCGTTGCAGCATCTCTGGGCAATTCATCCATGCCATCCGCGTTTGCGCCGTTCGGAATTTGCTGCTGAGCTTGTGCTCCCTTCAGGTTTTCAGGAGCGGGATCTTCTGCCGCGGCTTTCTGCAAGCTGAGTCCAAGCACTTCGGAGTCCTCGTCTTTTCTCCTCTTCGACAGCCTAACCAGGAATCGAGCTGTCTTGAGTGCCTCTTTCATGGCTACTGTGCGAAACCGCTCAACCACGAACTCCAGTGTGCGCATTGCCGTCGAAAGGTGCGACAGTGACTCGCGGCCGTCCATAGCCAGAAAGACACAGATAACTTGGAAAGGCACGTTGGCCACATGCCACCAAGGCATTCCCTGCTCGGCCATCCTCCGCGCCGCATCAAGCCCGCCCAGGCCTATGTTGATGATTCGGTTGATGACATCTGGTGATAGGTTGGGGTTCGCCAAGCGCAATCGCCGATAGCCACACAGCGCGAGATTTGCTTTTGACAATGCAATCCCATCGTGGGGCGGTTCGTACGCATCGAGTTGACTGAGAAACTCTTCCCATTGCCCGGCTTTATCTGATTGCTCTGGGTCCAAGCAACATGAAATACTGTACAGGTTGATGTAATCTGTGGTGTAGTCGCCTTCGCCCGATGTTGGGAGTTGAGCCGTAATGCCTCGAAGCGCCACCCTCGTCCTGCCGTACTCAAAGCTGACCCACGAATTCAGCATCCGTGCGACCCAAAATGCTCTTCGACGGAGCTCAGGGTTATTCGAATCATTCGCAGCAGGATGCAAGACAGACGTGCTTGCTTCCAATTGCAAGCCGACAGACTCAACAAGATGCATTGCCGTGCAAGTTGCGATCCAAGTGGCGTGTGGATGGTCCGTTACACGTAGCGTAAGGCATCGCAATATCCATGATTGGACATCCGTGAGGTTCGGTGGCTGCATTGTGCTTGTACTCTCTAGAGCCTGCTTCTGCGCATCCACAAGCCGTGGCAGGACTGGGACTAAGGTTCCATCGGGCGAGAACAGGATACCGATCGCTGCCACGCCACACAGGATATGGTCGGGCACTGCGCATTCCCCAGGTCTGGCCCATCTCTGTGAAATTCCTTCCATGACCCATTCCTTGTCAAGGAATCCGTATATAGGGTGAACATTCTGAAAGAAGAGTAGTGCTACCGCATGCATCTGATGTCGATCCAGAATTGTGGTTATGTCTACCGAAGGCGGTGGCTGGTATGCGCTGCTTCCCAGGTTCCACCCAAACGTGAATAGCTTCGGTCGACTGCTTGGGTCCAGTTTCATGCCCAGCAGTCGTGTGAATGCGATCCCACTGTTGGCTTCGAGTGCGCGCATTTTGGACAAGTCCTCTGTAGTTGGGCCATTAGATCCAGGTTCGGCTTTGATATCAGCGTGAGCAAGCGTGAGCTGAGCATCTGCTATCGCATGTTTTTCCACAAGCTTGCTGCGCTTTCTTGGATGCTTTTCGAAGTAACATTTATATTCAAATTGGGTGCACATGTTGCACGGCTGGTTTCCATCGCAGCGTCGTTTCCGCAATCTGCAAGGTTCGCAGGCTTGCTTTGCTCGTTGGCGTTTCTGGCCTTGCGACGGAGGACTCGCGTTGTTGTTGTTGTTGTTGTTGTTGCCATTCGGCGTGGCGGGGATTCCGACTGCACCGTCCATCGCATCGCTCATCGCCCAAAGCTTTCGTGAACAGGTCGATGCCTGCGGAAGTGGAGTCGTTCGCTCGTATCCGAGCTTGGTTGCTCGTTAGTCAGCAGCCTGACGGAGTTTGGGCAGGGGACCAGAATTCAAAGCTAAGGAGACATATTGAGATCATTGCGTCGGACGCTATGTTTGGCGGAGTGTCAAGCGCCTCATGCCAATATCACAGAACTGGCTGGCCTCAAGGTGTTGTAGAAGCCTACAATGCTTGCTTTTCCGGGCTAGCAATTGGCAGGCACACTATGTCGCAGTCGAGAAGCTTTAAAGTCTTGCAGTGGAGATATAGGCCTTCAACTCTAGACCAATTGCGGTCTCGGGCTGTGAAGACTAAGAGGACATTGCGTGCTGCTTGTTGGGCAGACATTCGTGGTATCTTTTACATATATACAAAGCGCTGGACGCATCGCTCTAAAGGTCAGACGAGATATTAGAGCAAGTTCGCCTGATGCATGAATTGCGTACTCCAGCACTTATGGTGCCTGGGTCTTGCCAGTATGGGTGTCCCGTTCATGGTACTTCCACTGGCCTGGCTGTGGCTTTTCCTCAAGGTCCTCCCAACTGTGGCAAACGTTAGCATCCTCTGTTCATCCGAAACTGCACCTCTTGTGAACTTACACTTGCGCCTCTGCCAGTGTCCTGACAAGTTCATGCTCGCCCTCAGCAACCTGGATGACCTCCTCAATCAATCCCGCACCGATCTTCGCCTCAATCTCGTTGATCTGCGCTGCCGTAAGTGACGGCTCACCCTCTATTCTCGGCACATTTGCGCGATCCGTGATCGGGTCGGCTGAAAGCGCAATATGTTGGTTTGCCCTCTCCTCTGCTGACCTTAGACCTTCTGGTTGCGCTGGGCCCTTGTATTCCACGTTGTCATCTGGGTCTGGAATATCGTCATTTACCCCCTCTTTCCAGACGATGTTGTAGCCATCTCCTGACAAGGTTGGAAACTTCTTGAAGGCGTCCGTGTTGCCTTCCGCAACCGATGCCACACGCTTCTGCCATTCTTCCAGGCCTTGTGGCTTGGTCTCTTCTAGAATCTTTAGGCGGTGTTTCGTCAGCGCTTCTGTAGATTGTCGATATAAGCTATGTTCTGGAAGCGCTTTTAACCTGTCGAGAGTGTCGTGGTAGAGGAAGAGGAGTGTGGTTCGCGGGCTGGAGTGTGTGAGAAGACCTGTCAGGCCGGTGGGAGCACCAGTCTCGAGGAATTGGGTGCTCCGCTGGACGGAGGCGAGGAGTCTGAGTGCTGCCCTCATATTTGCGGTGTTGTTGAGGGGGCAATGGATAGTAGAGGTGGAGGGCGGAAAGTGTTTGGATGATGAGCTCAGTTGACCATTGGCGGCGATTGGCATGACAAGCAGAAGCGGCGAGGCTCTGATTGGTTGCGCTTTCGCTGGTGGGTCGGCGTCCACGCGGAGGGCGGAGGGCGGAGGGCGACTCCTACTTAGCCACAAGACAGTCCATGCTCCATACCACCTGCAATTGCTCAACGCCCGCCCGCATCCCTAATACCAGCTAGTTGTCGCTCGCTTCACGTGCCATATTGTCGCCGACCCAGGAAACAACGACCTGAACACCGCCCCCACCCACCGACACCCAACCCAACCCAACGAACTTGCCACGAAACCTCAACACAGGTCGCGAGAAATCTCATTCCTGCTGCAGGCGTCAGCAGATCTCGCGGGCCTAGTGCCCATACCACACCCACATCATGCGCACCTCATCCATTTGGCGCTGGTTCGCGCTGCCTCTGCTGGTATCGGCAGGAGCTACTCCGCACTCTGAAGGCCGGATAGAACATGAAGCGGCACAACTCGCAACTCCAGGCAAGCGATTAGTGAAGCGGGCAGATGATGCCACCAGCGAAGGCACAACATTCAATAGCAAGAAGGTGCCTCCTTTCCCCGAACTTCCAGGCGACAAGATCGACGACAGCATAAAGGACGGCTACTGGATGGTCGAATACTTTAGTCCGTACTGCCACCACTGTAAAGCATTCGCGCCTACTCTACAGACTTTGTATGAATTCTACTATACTCTGGATCCTCTACCGCAGACGCCCGGGAGTGGCGAGACGCACGATGACATGAACAGCTTCACGCGCTTTTACAACTTCAAATTCGCGAAAGTGGATTGTGTTGCGTATGGCGATGCTTGCTCTCAGAAAGGGATTGGATCATTCCCGACTGTAATATTGTACAAAGATGGAAAGGAGGTGGAGAAGAAAGTCGGAGCGAAAGACCTATCGCAAATGAGCAAGTGGGTGGAGCAGGTCCTGGAGACTGCCAAACCTGGCTCGCGACCTAAAGATGGCCCGAATCTGCCCAAGGTTGGAGACAAGATTGCACCACCACAGCCGGAGATAGTAGCCCCTGTCGCAAAAGGCAGCGGTGATAGGGTCGCAGCAGGCTCTGCGAAGTCGACGCTCGAAGCAACAAAGATTCTCAGCCCATCTGCGAAGCAGACTCCGAACCCAGCCGGAAAGAGCTTGTCTTTGACCGCTGAGAACTTTCAGCGTCTCGTTACAACAACCCGCGAGCCATGGTTCATCAAGTTCTACGCACCTTGGTGTCACCACTGCCAGGCTATGGCTCCGAGTTGGCAAAGCATGGCACGACAGATGCAAGGGAAGCTCAACATTGGCGAAGTCAACTGTGAGAGCGAAAAGAGGCTGTGCAAGGATGTCAAGGTCCGAGGATACCCAACCATCATGTTCTTCCGTGGCGGAGAGAAGATCGAGTACGATGGACTTCGTGGTCTTGGCGATCTTATAGCATTCGCGAACAAGGCCATCGACATGGGTCAGGGCATTCCGACTGTCGATGCCGCAGCATTTGAGGAGATGGAGAAGAAAGAAGAGGTCATCTTCGTCTACTTCTATGATGAGGCTACCACAAGCGAGGATTTTGCCGCACTTGAGAGATTGACCCTTAGCCTGGTCGGCCATGCCAAACTTGTAAAGACCGACGACCCAGATCTTTGCGAAAGATACAAGATCCGTTCTTGGCCTCGTCTGCTCGTCAGCAGAGATGGTAAGGCAACGTATTACGATGCTTTAGCACCTCAGCAGATTCGTGATTACAGGCGAGTGCTTAACTGGATGAAGTCAGTTTGGCTGCCTATTGTGCCGGAGCTTACCGCTTCTAACGCCAGAGAGATCATGGATGGCAAGCTTGTGGTACTTGGCATTCTCTCTCGAGATCGACCCGAGGAGTTCACTATCGCCAAGCGTGAGATCAAGAACGCCGCATTGGAATGGATCGACAAGCAAACTCAGGCTTTCCAACTCGAAAGACAAGAGCTCCGTGATGCCAAACAGCTGCGAATTGAGGAAGCAGAGGACCGGAACGACCAACGCGCTCTTCGGGCAGCAAAGAGTATACGAATCAACATGGACGACATCGAGAGGAAAGAAGTTGGATTCGCATGGGTTGACGGTGTCTTTTGGGAACGCTGGATCAAAACCACTTTTGGCATCAGCGTTGCAGATGGTGAGAAGGTCGTTGTTAATGACGAGGCCAACCACCGCTACTGGGACGTGACCATGACTGGCAATCCAATCGTACCCTCTCGAACGTCGATATTGGAAACTCTGCCACGAATCGTCGCCAACCCACCTAAGATTGCCGCAAAGAGCACGACAAACGCCATCGGACACATTTGGTGGGCAGTCAAGGGCCAAATATGGGAGCATCCGCTCGTGTCGGGCGGTATTTTAATCGGCATGCTACTCGGAGGCTTCATCTGGGGACGAAGACATTTGCCGAGAGCGGGTGGTTACATCAGACTTGATGAAAAGGGCAGTGGCATGAACGGTCTGCTTGGGGGTAATTCGGGGCAAGGCGGAAAAGTGGATTGATTAGCGAATACGTATGTGCATTGATGTGGTGATCGGCGTTCTGCGGCAGGCTGTGACAGCCTTTTTTTTTCTCTCTTGAGAGCTATGTTTTTGAAAATGTAGTAATGTGATGTGAAATCTCTTTTGGGTCTTTCGTCCTCAGTCCTTTTGACAGTCGTATCTGGCACGGTTGGTTGCCCTCATCGATTCTGGTTAAGTACGAAATCGTCACTGACATCTAAGACCATACCGACCGACCAGGTTCTGGGGAACCCCACACGAAGTAGTCGTAAGTGAATCCCCTATCCGATCTCTAAACGACCAAGTACATCGCCAACAACATCGCCGCAAACAATCCAAAGTTAGCAGCTTCAATCCTCCCAGCAGCTCCACGCTCCTCTGCTTTAAAACACTTGTCCGCGTAGGAGTAAGTGGTCGAAACCCGTCCAATCGAAAAACTTTGAATCGAAATCGGCACCGTATAGCACTCTCCCGCTTCCGTCTCACTCTGACATGTCCAAACATAATACGGCTGTCCGCCAAGTTGATCCGGACCATTGGCTGCTTGCTCACAATCCAGACCGCTCCATACCGTGAAGAAAATCGCGGCATCTTCGCCGGATCCGGTGTCGCCGGTTTCGTTGACTTGTTGGTACCGGATGCGGGAGTAGTTTGTGGAGGAGGAATAGAGGTTTTGGTTGTACAGGGTGTAGGTTTGGTTCACCGAGTAGGTTTCGTTTGCGACTGTGTGGCCTGAGGTGCTGTTTGAGGAAAACAGGGTGGCGAGATTGTAGCATGTTGTTTGTGGGGGGATGTTGTAGGTTGAGAATGAGATTCCTGAGAGGGAGTTTTTGGTTGGACATTCGTCTGCTCCGTCGGCGCTGAAGGTGACGGTTAAATTCTGACCTGGTCTGGTAATTGTTACTTTTAGGTCCTTTGGTGTACGTTGAGATGGTGGTTAGTTGAGGCTTACATGTTGAAAGGACTGAATTGTGCTTCTTGTGCTCGAGCGAGACTTCCTGGGGTCCGGACTTTTGCGGTATTGATGGGAAGTGCTGTGATATGGATACTAAGACTCTTTTCCCGATTTGTGAGTTTGAGGATGTTGATGGGTGTGTTGAGGTTGATGCTGTTGAGAAGAAGATGGTTAAGAGGTCGAGTATTGCGAGACGCACTGTTAATCAGGTGCACAAGACTTACAAGACCGTTACTCATAATCATTAGATAGGGCGGGTGCACGAGACAAGCATGGTGATAGGTATTCTTCTATTCAAGCCTTCGGATCCAAAGTCTCTATCGCATATTTCTCATACTCGTCACAGCGACCGCCAGTAAACCTTTCTTCTCAGCCACTAAATGACTGATTACCTCCCCTTTCCAATCTTTCCCTTTCGACACCTCATTCCTCGCTCCCTCTCGAATCTGGAAACAGGGATTCAAAACTTCAAAAACTCAAAGCCCATATTCAGAATTGAATACGAGCTTTATTGAGTTTCTCTTTCGGAATTGAAAGAAGAGAAGAAGTATCTATCGATGCGAGTACAAGAAACGCACTCACGTCTTAGATACCCAGCGAAGCCACCTGATTGTGTTTCCGAAACGAATCTCTCCTAGATCTTGTCTGAGGAGTCAAGCAAAGAAACCCAGGGGACACCATTTGGACTTTGAACTTGTTTGATTGGCTGATGAGATTTTGTTTTCGTTTATAGAGGTTGCTTTCTGATGCGGGTGCTGCCGCTGCGCGGCCGTTGAGATTCTGCGTGAGGTGGAAGGAGGTCGGCTGGCGCAGAGGAGTGATCGGGGCGGCGTGGCGGCCGGGCGCTCGCTCGCCGCTGAAACACGATGTACTGGAAGAGATACGATCTATCATCTAGGATAGGTGAAGGCTGACATGGACTTACATGTTGTTGCGGGCCTTGCACGTCCTCTGCATGTAGGGAGAACTTCCTGGAGCAAGTCGGGGCAGACTGAGGTCTCCGCCACCTGATCGGTACATAATTTTTGACAAGAGATTTCTTACAATTCGACTCCCACCCCGATGGCTAGGAGGTCTAAAGGGTATCATTGTATGTCATACTATGCTCTATTGTTACGAAGGCACAAAATATGCCCGTTCCAGCGGTTCTCGCTCCGTTTCCCAAGCAAGCCAGTCCGATCTCGTCGTTCTGTGAATCAAGTCAGTCACTTCGGTATATTGAAGCGGCTAGGAACGCAGCAACTTACGGCAACAGCCCCATTCCATTAACTTTCCATATGCCCAATGCTAGCGCCAAGAGATTGCATCCGATAAATGCCAGCTTGACCAGCAGCATCTTCTCCCTATTGTTCTCGCTTTCCAACCTTGCAAATGTGTTCTGGATGTTGAGGAGAGCCTGTATGGGTCCCTTGAACAGCTGGAAGACCATGAAGATGCTGAAAATCTGCAGGCTGTTGCCCGTCATGTACATCCCTATCGCGTTCATGGGCAATTGCTTGGCTGGTGCAAGAGCCAGCTCCCACGCTTTCTTCAGCTTCAAGCTATCCATCTCCTCTGGCGACGGTGGTTTCCTCGCAGTGACGGCTTTCTTATTGCTCGATCTGGTGAGGGCTTGTGGTGCGCTGTAGCCCGGTGGGTCTGGATACGTGGCTTTCGCTTTCACGAGCGGTTGTGCGTTGAGGTCGCGTAGCCATTGCGGCTGCGGTGCTGGGATTGATGCGGCCATGGTGGTGTGGAGGAGTACGCTTCTGCCTCTTCATCAAAGCACAATCGCGAGATGATGTCGCTGCTGCTGATTGCCAAGACGACGAACCTTCACTTCCGACAGGCCGTCCGTCTGACCAATAGAGCTAGTGCGACTGGGGTAGTTGTAGGAGAGGCTCACCTCATTGACCGATCGACGACGTGCGCGAGACTGACACTTGACGGAATCGCGCAGCTCTCCACCAACGCTGCCATTGTTTCACGACCAGACCCCGCATCTCCCGATATCACAAGACCGCCGTCTCCTCGAAATCGCATTGGCTGCAGAGCCTCGCACTGTTGCATGAGAGATACAGAGGCACATTGAACCGCCACAGAGCTTGCGCTCGCGTGAGCTGGAATCATGAGCGGCGCCGGGGGCCAAGATGCGAAGTTCTTCGCCAGAGTACGTCCATACACCACACGCCCCTCCACCACTCTCCAGCGGCACTCTGCGAGAACAGCGAACAGCATAGTGCGCGGCTCTTCCACGAGCGTCCGCGGCCCCAACAGACCCTGTATGAGCTAGCTGGGCTATTCTACAATCATCATGATGTTCTACATGCCTCACAATTCATGTCCATACTTACACTGTGCGCGTTCCTCACAGGGCAAGGTCGCCGAGCTCAAACTCGAGCTCAACTCGACAGGTGGCAAGAAGGACAAGAACTTTCTCACCAAACGAATTGCGCTCAAGAAGATCGTTGCGAACATGACTATGAGCAACAATGACATGGTAGCTCTCTTTCCCGACATCATTAATTGTATGGGCATCCAGAACCTTGAAATCAAGAAGATGTGCGTCTTTTGAAGCTGGGTCTTGCTTGAAAAAATTCACTGGACTGACATTCGACAGGTGCTTCCTCTATCTGGTCAACTACGCGCGCATGAAGCCCGACATTGCACTCAAGGCTTTGCCCATTCTTACGGACGACTTGAGCGACGTCAATCCATTGATTCGCGCCCTCGCTCTTCGAACACTGTCATATGTGCACGTACGGCAGTTTGTGGAAGCTACAGTAGAGCCGCTCAAGCTACTCTTACAGGATCCGGACCCATACGTGCGCAAGACAGCTGCTTTCACAGTCGCTAAGGTGTACGACCACGACAGACTTCTGGTTGAGCGGAGCGACCTGATCGATCGATTGAATAACATGCTTCGAGACGAGAATCCGACAGTCGTTTCTTCAGCTTTGGCAGCCTTGATGGATATCTGGGAGCGCAGTGAAAGCATCAAACTGACAATCGATTATGCTAATGCCAGCAAGATCGTACAGATCTTGCCAGATTGCTCAGAGTAAGCCCAATCTCGGACCTTTGATCCATGCCACGACTAATAGCTCGCAGATGGGGCCAAACATATATCTTGGAAGCACTAACAGCATACGTCCCACAAGACACGCATGATGCTGCATTGCTCGCGGACCGGATAGCGCCGCGCCTTTCACACACCAATTCAGCTGTAGTGTTGACATGCATACGAGTCATACTCTACCTCATGAATTACATTGACTCGGAAAAGGTTCTCGCGAGTCTGTGTACGAAGCTCAGCCCACCTCTGGTCACTCTGCTTAGCAAAGGGCCAGAGATTCAATATCTCGCCCTTAGAAACGCGCTGCTCATACTCCAGCGACGACCGGAAGTTCTTCGCAACGACATCAGAGTCTTCTTTTGCAAGTACAATGATCCGATCTATGTGAAGGTCACGAAATTGGAGCTCATATTCATGCTCGCGAACGAGAAGAACATCAGGGAAGTTCTCACTGAGCTTCGCGAGTACGCAACTGAGATTGACGTCCACTTTGTGCGGAAGTCGGTGCGCGCCATCGGCAAGCTTGCTATCAAGATCGAGCCTGCAGCGAAACTCTGTATATCGACACTGCTTGATCTGGTCTCCACAAAGGTGTCATACATTGTGCAGGAAGCAACAGTTGTAATCAAGAACATCTTCCGCAAGTATCCAAACCAATACGAATCCATCATCTCGACACTTTGCGAAAACTTGGACTCTCTAGACGAGCCGGAAGCAAAGGCTGCTATGATCTGGGTCATCGGGCAGTACGCAGATCGGATTGACAATTCAGAAGTGCTTCTGGAGGACTTCTTGGACAGCTGGCATGACGAAACACACGAAGTTCAGCTAGCGCTTCTCACAGCAACAGTCAAGCTCTTCATCCAGCGACCGACGAAAGCTCAAGAAACTGTGCCAAAGGTCCTGAAGTGGGCAACAGAAGATACCGACAATCCAGATCTTAGAGATCGTGGCTACATGTACTGGCGTCTTCTCAGCAGCAACCCTACAGCGGCGAAGGGCATTGTCATGGGAGAGAAGCCGCCTATTACAGCCGAGAGCGAGAAGCTGGATCCGGTAACGCTAGAAGAAATGTGTCTCGTGGTGGGCACTCTAGCCACAGTCTACCTTAAGCCGGTGCAGACCGTCTTCCGGTCTACGAGGCCGAGGAGGCTGCAGGACTCACCAGCTCTACAGCGCCAAAATCTACCTAGTTGGAAAGCTCAGCAGGAAGCACAAATGGTCGTCGATGCTCAGGCTGCCGGACAAAGCAACGCGCATGTACTGGACGAAGCGGATGCTTACTTCGCGAGTGTTGGCGGCCAGGGCATTGCTAACGATGGCTTCGCATCAAGTCCGACGGGCGCTACACATGCTGAGCAAATGTATGTCGTTAACCAGGGTCAAGGACTGGGAACTGTACGGCCCATGACGCACGTACAAAATGGCGAGGGAGATCTTCTGAGCTTCTAGCATGAGTATGTTGCGGACGTCAAGTCGAAGGACTCCAGGACGAGGAGGAGCAAGACAAGGATATATCACGGAAGGCGAACCGAGACCTCGACATCGTATCACGACCTTCGAGAGCCGTTTCTGTTCGCATAGGAGGCAGTCATTCAACGCTCGAGAACCCATAATATCGGACCCACCCATCATACGATGTTCACAAATCTCATTTTTCTTTTTTGAATTCTTCATTTACTTTTTCCATCCCAATATTTTCAAAGCTCGATCGACTATGACGCGAAAAAAAAAATTATCTTTCAGAAGCTTTTCAGTCACTCACTTTCCTCCAATATGCCTCCTCCCGTTCAACGAAAAATCTCTGTCCCCTCGTCCGAACTAGGTATTCTAGCCGCGCCTGATGTCTAGCTCTAGCTAGCTAGCTATATAGCAGATCAAGAACCTACTAACTACTAGCTAAGCTGCACCCTATAATAAGATTATAATAACACCCATGCACGCACGACGACAAAGAGCGAAAATGGGTTGTAAGTGGAAAGAAAAGTTGTACGGTAACTAGGTATCGTCTAGAATTTTCTACACGCTTTGAAAAAAAAACCCAATTAATCTTAATAGAAACTATAGAATACGCTCGCTCGTCTGATGAGATAGATATACACACAGAATTTTGCGCATCTATAGAACTGAGTTTCTCTGCTGATATATAATCACTACCTTACTAAAAAAAAAGAAGATAAAATGAAAGACAAAAACCCAACCCCCCGTACACGGCAAGATACATGTATAGAAGAAACAAGATCGAAAACATTCAACATTCACAATTCACATTTATACTCAGTTCATTCATTGAGGAAAAAAAAAGAGAAATAACTACAAATCTGCACCAGAACCACCACCACGACGTTCATCCATCCTCCATCCTCCCATCTCATCTCCCGCTTCACACTCTCATACTTTCTTCCTTTCTTTCCTTCCTTCCTCCCTACAAAGGTTTCCCCCCAATAAACTCACTCCACCTCCTAACCTCACTCGGAATCTTCCCCTCAGGCTTCGGCAACTTCTCACTCATACACTGCGCAAAAAGCACCGCCGTCCTGGGCTCCATGAAAAGTGGAAGTCCAAAATCCACCGTATTCCTCCTCATAACATAATCCTCGTCCGTGAGACTACTAGCCCGACTCTTGGCCAAATTGAAACAACCTTTGATATCATACTTCTGGTAGACTTCTCGCAAAGCACGTTTATCGGTCTTGGGGAATTCGATCACTTCGACACTGACACTGCCGTCTTTGGAGGAGGATTCGAGATGTTTCTTGACTTCGTTGTTGGCGGCGAAGAGTTTGTAGCCCATGGGGTTGAGGTATTCGACGATGCGGGCGAGGTCTGGGGTGGTGGTATCACCGCCGAAGAGGAGACCTTCGCCTGGGAGTGGGACGCGGAAGTTCATCATGCTTTGGACTGCAGTCCAGTAAGCCTCGACGAGGTCCTTGCCGAAGCAGGCCATTTCACCAGTGGAAGCCATTTCGACACCGAGGTATGGGTCAGCGCCTGCAAGACGGGTCCAGGAGAATTGGGGGACCTTGACAGCAACGTAGTCACGCTTCTCTTGCATGAGATCGACTGGGGCGGGCACATCCTTGTCAAGAAGAGCGCGAGTCGCGACGTCAATGAAGTTAGTGCCGAGAACTTTGCTGACGAAGGGGAAGGATCGTGAAGCACGGAGGTTGCACTCGATGACCTTGAGCTGGTCCTCTCCACCTTCAGGGTTGGCAGCAGAGATGATTTGCATGTTGAAAGGTCCGGTGATGTTCCATGCCTTGGCGACCTTTTCAGCGATGACCTTGACGCGGTCGATGGTGCTTTGTGGAAGCTTGGCAGGTGGAAGGACAAGCGAAGCATCACCAGAGTGGACACCGGCATTTTCGACGTGCTCAGACACCGCATGAAGCAGAAGCTTGCCATTATGTGCCACGGCATCGCAGTCAATTTCGAGCGCACCTTCGATGAATTTGGTGATGACGACAGGATGGTCAGGGCTGACGCTGCTGGCAGCAGTGAGCTTCTCCTCGAGCTCAGACTCGTTACGAATCACAGTCATGGCGGCACCGGACAGGACGTAGGATGGACGGACGAGGACAGGGTAGCTGACGGACTCGGCAAACTCCTTGGCCTCCTTGTAGCTGGTCAGTTCCTTCCAAGCAGGCTGGTCGACACCGATGGAGTCCAAGATTTGCGAGAACTTGTGACGATCTTCGGCCTTGTCGATGTCCTCTGGGTTGGTACCGAGCACCTTAGCCTTGCCAGTCTCCTGGAGCTTCAGTGCAATGTTCTGAGGAAGCTGACCACCGACGGAGACGACAACACCGGTTGCAGATTCAAGTTCGTAGATATCCATGACACGTTCGTAGCTCAGCTCCTCGAAGTAAAGACGGTCTGGGACGTCAAAATCGGTGGAGTAACTAAAGTCAAGTCAGCAAGGACATCGAATGTCAAGAATGGACAACACTCACGTCTCTGGGTTGTAATTGATCATAGCAGTCTTCTTGCCCAAAGCCTTGAGCGAGAGCGTAGCATTGACAGCACACCAGTCGAACTCGACAGAGCTTCCAATACGGTAGACACCAGATCCAAGAACGACAATACCGTGATCATCAAACTTGACATCGTGGCTCGAAGCATTGTAGGTAGTGTAGAGGTAATTAGTGTCAGCCGGGAATTCAGCAGCGAGAGTATCAATCTTCTTGACCCATGGACGGATGCCAAAATTCTTACGACGAGCGCGAACTTCATCTTCGGTAGAGTTGACGGCCTGAGCGATTTGCTTGTCAGAGAAACCTTGCTTCTTGGCCTTGAGCATGAGCTCCTTCTTGACGCCGAAAAGTGACCCGATATCTTGCAATTCGTGGGTGGTATCGACAATGTTCTGGATCTTGTAGAGGAACCACTTGTCGATCTTGCTGAGTTCGTGAACCTTGTCGACAGAGTAACCTTCGTGGAGCATAGCTTGGCCAACAGCGAGCCATCGGCGGTCGGTAGGGTTTCGAAGGACCTCATCAAGGTCGTCGAACTTGTCACCCTGAAGGCCAGCGAATTTAGGGTCAACCTGACGAATAGCCTTTTGGAAACTCTCTTCAAAGGTACGGCCGATCGCCATGACTTCTCCGACAGACTTCATGCTAGATCCGATCGAGCGATTGACATTGTGGAACTTGGCCAGATCCCAACGAGGAATCTTAGTGACGATGTAGTCCAGGGAAGGTTCGAAGTTGGCGGTAGTAGTACGAGTGACGGCGTTTGGCAGCTCGGGTAGAGTGTGCCCCAAACCGATCTTTGCAGCAGTGTAAGCCAGGGGATATCCGGTAGCCTTGGAGGCCAGCGCGGATGATCGAGAAAGACGAGCGTTGATTTCGATAACCCTGTAGTCGAGGCCGTCAGGTTGAAGGGCGTACTGGACGTTACACTCTCCAACCACACCAAGGTGTCGCACAATCTTAATGGCAGCAGTACGAAGCATGTGGTACTCCTCATCGCTGAAAGTCTGGGATGGCGAGACGACGATTGAATCTCCCGTGTGCACACCAAGCGGGTCGAAATTCTCCATATTGCAGACAGTAATACAGTTATCAGAAGCATCTCGCACGACTTCGTACTCAGCCTCCTTCCAGCCCTTGAGTGATTTCTCAACCAAGATCTGAGGAGAAAGGGTCAAAGATCGTGCAGCCAAGTTGCGAAGCTCCTCCTCGTTGTCCGCGAAACCAGATCCGAGACCACCGAGTGCGAAAGCAGCTCGCACAATGATGGGGTATCCGACTTGATTGGCGGCCTTGAGGGCATCATCAATATTGTCCACAGCAACACTCTCAGCAATTGGGATGTTGATCTCCTTCAAAGCTTTGGCGAATTCATCTCTGTCCTCGCTAAGCTCGAGAGTGCGAATGCTGGTTCCGAGGACCTTGACGCCGTAGCGCTCAAAGATACCCATCTTGTCCATCTGCACACCCAAGTTGAGTGCAGTCTGGCCGCCGAATGAGAGGAAGATGCCATCCGGCCTCTCCTTCTCGATAACGTAGGTGACGTATTCAGGAGTGACTGGGAGGTAGTAGACCTCGTCGGCCAACACGTGGGCGGTCTGAATCGTCGCAATGTTTGGGTTGATCAGCACTGATGCAATGCCCGCCTCTTTCAAGGCCTTGAGTGCTTGAGAACCGGAGTAGTCGAATTCTCCTGCTTGTCCAATTGCCAGACCGCCAGATCCGATAACCAGCACTTTCTTGACGTCCACGAGGTTCTGAGCACCGGCAATGGCGCCGCTCTTGATGTATGCCTCAGCATTTGGGGCGGTCTCGGTTTGGTTCAGCACGCGGGCAGATCGAGAGAAGTGCCTGAGCTGCTTCTGAGTGGGCTTTTGGAGCGCGTATCGTGCCGCGGGTTGCGTGACCAGAGTTCGTCGTGCTACGCGCGTGGCGGCGAATCGGGAGTGGTGTAGTAGCTCATGCTGCAGCTGGCGAGCAATGCGCCCGCTGAGAGCCATGGCTAGGGTGGTGTAACTGTATGTGATTCTGAGACGTCGGCCTCTCAGGGGCGCTGGAGTGAGTGAGGTGGGCGGTGAGTGCTCTATCAGATGCCCTGTGCCTTCCACAGGTGGTCGCTAATGTAGTCTTCTGACGTTCGAGTGGAAGGAGCAAACACCATGAAGGCGATTCAGCGGAGGCCTGCTCTGGTCCGTCAAAGTGGGATGATGTGTCAATGGAGTCAATGGCAGCAGCAGCAGAGAAAAATGAGGTGATGTGAAAAAAATCCGATCCTTGGAGGCTTGTGTGGGGACGTAACTTCCACCGCTTCTCTTCCGGGCCCTGCCCCAGATAACGACACTTCGAATTGACTCACACAATGCCGAATGACGCCCACCTACATTTTTCACATGACTCATTGCAGCACAAAACAACACAACACACACCGAACAAGACACATTGAAACTCCTTCAGCTCCATTCTCGCTCGCTATGCTATGCTACATACTCTTTCTTCCCTTCCCTTCCACTCTCGAAACCGCCCTACCCCTGTCCCATGCAACATTCGCGAGCACACCCGCATCCCTTCCCTCCCTTCCTTTTCTCCAACAAAAGACATAAATACATTATGGCGGCATGCCCAAAGATTAGATTAGTCATGTATGCTCAAGCTCGAACGAGAGAGTTGGGCAGCCAAGACTCTTTCATCTTCGAGCGAAAGTACAGCGGCCGTATTTGTGCAACAACAGCAAAAAGTAATGGCTATAGGAAAAGGTGGTGGCGGTGGTGGTTTCCAGCTGTGGAGCTGATCCGTGTCTGGGGTGTATGCAAAATCGCTAAAGGATCGACAGCAGCATAGCCAACAAAAACAGCAGCGCAGAGCAGCAGAGCAAAAAAAACGCAGTGGTATCTCTTGAGCGTGCAAATGTGCAATGAGTCGCCAAAAACAACTCGCTGGGTCCGTCTCGTCCAGAATGATGCGGACGGAGCCAGCAAGTAAGTCCAAATCTCAGACGTGGTCGTGAACAAATACGGTCGTGACGGCGTGATCTTCTTCTTCTTCTTCTATCGATAGAACAAACAAGCAATGCTTCATGTAGCTCTCTCATATCCGGGGCGGACTAGGCTTCCCTTCCAGCTTCGAGAAAAGTTGTTCTGGAGGTAGTCTGTTCACGTTGGCGCTTCTGTCGCCAGAAATCGGAACATAGCCTTCTATTCTTCGCCTTCTCCGCTCCAGCAGGATGCCAATGAGGACAATAATGCCGATCAGCCCTAGTGCTATCGCGAGGCCAATCGCGACGATAGCTCCGACGCCCAAATGATGATGATCTTTGTCCATGAAAGCTTGTGGGTTGCTCACGAAGATCGCCGACAGACTGCCTTGGCTTCCGTCTTCCGTGTTGGTGAGAATGTATGGCTCGTAGCTTGTGCCATTGAACAGTACTGCACTGGCATTGCCTTGATCTGGGATGTTGATATTGCCGAGAATCATCAGAGACTGATCGTTGGACATCAAGTGGCTGTCAGCATGCTTTGAGGTAAGTGGCATGATTTGAAGCTTGCGGATCGTTGTGGCAGCTCCTAGTCCAGACGCTGCAGTCCACGTGTTTGACTGATACTTGTAGAGGAAGACCGATTGATTGTTGGTCGCCGTGCCACTGACCCAGAACTCATCATAGTCGCCATTGACAGCTGAGATGGCACTGATGGGACCAGGGAGTGTCGATGCGCCAGCGAACTCGGTGAAGGTCTCCTTCTTGGTGTCGTACGTCGCCATCATGGTGTGGTTGCCGTTGATAGTGAGATTGCCTGCAATGAGCAGGTTCTGATTGGAAGTCCACATCATCGCGTTGATGACGCCCGAAAGACCGGTGCCTGGGTTCTGCCACTGAAGAGCTTGCGTGTTGTAGTAGCAGAGCGTGCGGCATGGTAGTGATCCTGCCGTCTCAAACCGGCCGCCGACGTACACATTGGTACCTTCCGGCTGGGCGGAGATGGCGTTGACAATGACTGTATCCCCACCGAGGGCGGGAGGGTGCGGCGCGGCATAGCGGTTGCCAGACAAGTCGTACACAACAAGACCTCGAGCTGGGTTGCCGTTGACGGTACCGTTGATAGCGCCACCAGCCCAGAGCTTGGTCTCGTATACATCCATTGCGGCGAAGACAGAGTCGGAATCGAGACCACTGACGCCAGTCACGGTCTGTTGGTTGTTGCTAGTGGTGTTGATGAAGACCAAGTTCTCCACAGTCGAGCCATTGCTCGCAGTGGCAGCAAACTTTCCACCAAGAATGGTGATGTTGAGATTGTTCTTGCTGTAGAAGAAGCCATCATACACGCCAGTGTAATTTGCTCCAGAATTCGGATTGGCAGTCAAGGCACGTTTGTGCTTGGCAGATTTCGAAGACGAGTTCGTCGACTGTTGCATTGCGATATTCAACGACTCCAGTTGTGGTGCACCAGAGCCAACGAGCTCAACAGCGTCGCTGTAAGCGAGACCCTGTGAACGGATCATGCCTCCATAGACTGGCTCCATGCCCGGCACTTCGGCGTACGCGGTCAAGGTGCCGCTGAATGCTACACTGGCATTTGCGATGTTGTGAAGCCAGCTGTTTTTGCCAATCACCCACAAAGCAAATCCATCGACATCGAAGGCGGCGTGTCCGTTGGCAGCGTTGACCGATGTGAAGTTGCCGCTGATGCCAAGGCAGCTTTGTTCATTCCCGGCAGTGATGTTGAACTGCAGCGGAACGATGTCCGAGACAGCGCCATTTACGCCTGCACCAAGTGCACCCCATTCATTTTTGTCGATGTTGAAGCTCGCCACATTCTCAAGTCCATCTGTGGAGCCCTCTGCAGTGTTATTGAAAGTGCCGCCGAGGTACAGTGTAGACCCATTGAGTCGCATAGCCAAGACATCGCCATTCAGACCTCCCTTTGGCAATGCTGTGGCATTCCCGCTGCCAATCGACATGACGTTCGAGATGCCGCCACGAGAGAATCGTCCGGCGACGTAAAGGACGTCGTTGTGTTCGATGACTGTGCTGACATCTGCGTTTGAGTTAAGCGAGGTGCCCGCAGTGTTGATTTTCGAGCTGGAGAAGTCGGTGTTGTCAGTGTTGAGCTGGTTTGGGTTGTACTCGTACAGCCCATTGAGGCCGCCAGAAGAACCACCAACGAGGTCGAAGCGAACGCGAGAAGCGACGACTGTCAAAGGCACCGACTGTCCAGCCATTGGCGACAATGTCACGGTAGGCTGGAAGTTCTCGGCATCGATGTATCCGTAGTAGATTTGGTCGAACTTGTCGTAGTTGTTGGTCTGGTAGACAGTAGTCGTGATTGGGGTATCCCTCGAGGTCATGGATGCCGTCACATTGGCAATTCCTCGCGTGGCACAGGTGCCATCTTGAATGCAGCCAGGAGTGTAGAAGATGACGGAGTAGTTGCCAGATTGTTGGATGTTCGGACGAAAGACGACATTGGTGTCTGGACCGACCTGAGACGTGGATTTGAGTGTGGCAGACAAGAAGTTGGAAGCAGTGTAGCCATGCCCCTCGACCTCAGCCCACGTATTAGCAGGAGAACTACTCGAGGTAGCACCAGCGCTGACACCATCGCACTTGGGCTCATTGAACGAATCCACAGCAAAGCTGTAGATGTCATCCTGAAACATTTCGATGCCACTCAGTCCTCCACCAGCGCCATACCAATCGGTGATCCAAATGCGGAAGTGGCTCATGCCGACGTGGGCCACGAAGTGGAAGTCCTGGGCAGTGGTGTTTCCCTGCGGCAGCGGACACTGCTGAATGCAAGATTCGTTGCGGCCTGTGGTTGGATCGACGTAGGTGAGGTTGAGGATACCACCGCTGTTCATTTCCTCAAAGTGGAATGTCTTGGTGCCGCGGCCCTGGTAGGCAGTGTTGTACAGGCGCAATTTGGTCGGGTTGAAGCCAAATCCGTAGGTGGCATCCCAAAATCCTTGCCTGTTGTCGGCCAGTAGCCAGGTGTTGCCGGATCCATCGCTTTCGCCGGTCTTGCAAACGATGTTCTTGGGATCAGCGAAGCCAGCGAGTGTCGAACTGCCCTCAGCAGAGATGGTTCCACTACTAAGGCTGATGACTTGCTGATCGGGCGTTGATGGGCCGGTGGCGTTGCCCAGTCCATCAAATTGACCAGCGAATACGATGTTTCCTGCCGCGTTCTTCGTAATGGAGTTGACTTCGCCATTGAAACCGGCAAATGGTAGATTCACCCATCCGGTAGTCCACGCCATGGCATTCGTCGAGTTTCCCGCCATGAAGTTCCCTCCAACGTACACTGTCGCTGATTTCTGGTCACAGTACAATGCTTGCACTTGGCCAGTCAGTCCATCCAATGCTGTAATGGAGTCGTCTGCCGGGTTCCACAGGGCCACGGCGTTCGATGGCACGCCTCCCAGACTGGTAAAGTTTCCGCCAACTACGACTCCATTGAGCTTGCCATCTCGCGCTACGAATGCGCACATGGCCTGTATGGAAGCATCGGCATCGGCCAATGCGAGCGACTGGAAGGCTCCATCGGGGTATCGTGTGAGTAATGATTGGCTGCCATTGGTACTTGTATTCTCGTTCTGGCCTTGGTATGTGTATAGCGATATGCTATCGAAGTCACCTCCCACAGCGACGCGGCCTAACTGTGATAGGTCGAGATTGGGTGACGACACGGCGGTCTGAGTGAAGGCTGCTTGTGCGACGTGAGCACCGAGAAGGGGTACTGTGAGGATGTATGCAGCCAGCTCCGGCCCCAAGGCCAGCAGCTGGTGTATTATGTTTCGCATTGCATGCGTATGTCGCGCCGCGCCGGGGCAGCGTCGCTGGCGCGCGGTCGTCGAACAGAGGATTAGTGATGTATAAGCTTGCTCGGTGGATAGGCAGCGATAGATGATGTCGGCGAGCAATAAATTGACGGCGACTTCACGTGCTCATGGCCGACACGAGACAGTGTATGCGTCGAAGGAGTACGGTAGAGGCAGAGGCCGTGGGAGTGTGCAGAAGGCGCGAGTTGCGGTTGGCGCAGGTCCGGAAAGAGGGGGGCGGGCTGCAGAGCAGTAACGAGTGACTTGGGTGGGTGGTGGGTGTATGGTGAGAAGGAGCGACAGTAGTAGTGGTTAGGAGCACCACAGCAGGAGTTGGTGGAGATGCTGCCTCGTGGACGGCGACAGCAACGACAGCGGCGACGACGCAACACACAAGAGATGGCGACCTCACCTCAGCGTTCCAGCAGGTTGCCAGGAGCCCGTGGAGCGTGTGTGAGAGAAACGGCCTGTGCGCGGCTTCGCAATCTCGCACGGTAGCTCGGTCGCCGCCTGCCACCAATCACAGCGCGCGTGTGCCTGGGAGTGATGTAACGCTAGTCCTGTCCTGCTCCCGAGATGAGATTCAACGACCAGCGTCCGCCGTCTGCCTCTTCTCCGCCTTTTCCAGAGATTTCACTTGTGTTCATCATATCGCTGCGCTGTTCTCCCCACCAGTCATGCCTGATTCACATCTGACACTCAGGGACGGCCGCCAGACAGCTCCAAGGCGCATGTCACCGACTAGCCTCTGCGCTCATCCACCGTGTACACAAAGCACCCCGCACAAGATACGGCATCGTCCGCGGCCGAGAGACTCTGTCTTGCGTGTGGATGAAGTTGTGTCTTGCTCCAACCCACGCCAGAGCCACGAGTCCACGACTCAGGACCCCCTGTCGCCCTAATCGCAGGACCCATCTTGCCGTAACACATAGCCACGTACCCTCGTGAGGTTGGCGTTTCACAAACACACCAGAACATCGGCATATACAGCGTCTGAACACGTCGGAGGGCTAAAGGCCTTAAGCTTGACCAGGCAACTGTCGACTTCAATTGGCAGAAACCCCTGCTAGTCAGAATTTGGGGAGAAATTGATAGCCTTCCGAGGTGTTCAGACGCTGTATGTCGCGCAGCCTTAAAGCAAGAGAAGAGGTGCAAGGAGAGATCAAGTTGTAGTGAAGTCATCGCCATTCCGGCTTTTGGAGTAGGTACACGTGGTAGAGAAGTATCGCTGATGAATCTCTCTCTCCTCCTACTGCCTCACTCCCTGCTGAAGATCTCCAATGCACACACAACACAACAGACGCCATCCAGAGAAGCTCAAAGAAAGTGAAGAAGCCAGTGGTCCAGTCAGATACAAGCTGGCTAAACGCCTATGCATCGTGCTTCCTCCCGTGTTACGCTGCATCGTCAGTAGCATAGTCGTACAATCGCACCCACCCGCGTGTACCTGCAGCAAAAAAAGTACAGTAGACGCGCACATCCGGACGGCGTCTGTCTCCGTCCAGCCATTCCCGTGCCATAGTGACAATCACTCCTCAAGCAGTTCCAGGAGCCGCACCGGGAGAGACGGCCATGCGACGGAGCTTCTCCTCGATTGCGCGTGCGCGCTGCTCTTCGTCTTCGATTTCACGACACTTGCACGCCATGTTCGCCGTCTCCCAAGTCGCTTGACCGCTCTCGACCAGCTGAGTGAGAGCCTGCTTGGCCTGCGTCTGGCGGATGGAGACACCCTGGTAGCATCGAAGAACCTCTTGATCAGTCTGTAACGACAAGTCAGTCTACGGAATCGAGGAGCGTCCAAGTTTCAAAAAATCTCACCTTCTGATGAAGCTTCCCCAGCTGACCAGCGGTAAGGTGCTCACGGATTCGGCCCGGCAGGATAAGCCAATTCTCATCGCCCGGGTTGTGGTTTCCGTAGACATCAGGCATCCAATCCTCGTGCACGTAGAAGCAGACCTGGCGGGGACAATCCTCCTTGCTATTCGGCGACAGCTCACACATGCGGTGCGTGCATGGCACTTCTCGCAAGATGCACTCCTTGCACACTGAAGCTTCGTTACAGCGGATGCCATGCGATCTACACGTGGCAAGGGTCAGTCAGTAGGAGTGCGTGGGACGCGGTTTGAGAGCCTTGCTGGTATGAAACGTCATATTACTTACCGGCAGTGGTCACAGACGAGGAACTTTGACTTCTGCACCGGCTTGCCATCGTGCTGGCCAACAGTTGTAGGAGTCGATGGCTGACTGTTTCCAGCCTGGTCACGCAGAAGACCCAGCTCCGAGAGCCTGGAAATCATCGTCTCTTGGAAGTTGTCTGGCTTCTCGCTCTTCGTGGGGGATGTGCTGCTTGCGCGCCACGATGTCGCCGTCTGGCTTGGGTGAACGGTGGTGTCGCTCTTGGCTGGAGACGTGTCGTCGCCCGTCGCTTGAGGAGCGCCATTCGCGGTCTGAGGTGGCGACATTCCATTTGGTCGCTGCTCGATAGCTGGCGGTCGATTTCGCTGGGAGATGTGGTACTGAAGAAGAATGGACTGTGCTGCGCCGAGCAAGCGCTCAGCCTCGAGAACGAGACCAGCGGCGTCCGAGTCGACGTGAGAAGTGTTCATTTGGTGTATCGGAATCGCAGCGAGTGAGGCTCGCGCGCCATGAAGGCTACGACAGATCGCGCAGTTGCAGCCGTAAAGCTGGAGCTGGTGCTTTGGGTTGTTGGTGGGCGACAGGCTTGACATGATGACGGTGTTTGATGTTTGGTAGTGGTGTAAGAGTTGGTGAGTGAGCGTCGTTGTAGATGGAAGTTGTGTAAGGGTCGTTATTGTTGCTGTTTGATGTCAAGTGGAAGTGTTGCTGAGTTGTCGTGACAGGTGGTTGAAGTGAGGTTTGAGGGAAAAATTGGGCTTCGTTTGCTTTCTCGAGGTTTGCATGTGATGATTCAGAGCTCGCGTGCCTTCCCTTTTCGCTTTGTTTAGGGCTTGTTTGCTAACAACAATCAAACTTCACCATAACGGCTTTTTCTGCACATTTTGTGATTGGTCGTGTCAGGCTGCTGCCGCCTGCATTTGATGGAGGGCGTCACGAGGGCAACGGCGCAGCATAGTCAGTCAACAAGCCACTTCTCAACTTCACTTCCAATAGTGGGTCTCGAGAAGCTGTGGTAGAGATTCAAGTAGAAGGCTTCAGTGCAATTTGACCGATAGAAAGCATCATGGGAGGAGTCACCGATATTACTGATTGCATTGGCGAGTACGGCTTGGCTCTGGTTCAAATACTTCTACGCTTGGCTCAGCGGAAAGGAAAGCAGATGTCCGAATGATTGTGAGCGCGGTGTTCAATCGCAGCCTTTCTCCTGCTGCTGCCTGACAAGAACCATCGAGACCCGTCAATAACGTCCACCGTTCCTTCACGCAAGCTCGCCGTCGGTAAAGATGAGGAACATTGCTGGCACTGAGCAGACCAAGCAGTTGATGCTATCTCCAACGATCCGGTGTCGAACGGCGCACTTGTAGCAAGTTCTGTGATTGCAGGGGGCGATGATAATGCTGTCAGTCACGAAATCCTTGTTGCTCAGAGTGATGCTGAGGCGCTGTACATACCTGTAGTAATTGCTCTTCGAGCCGCACTCAGCACAAGGCGGTCCGGTCAACTCTGGGATGCTCCACGGTATCGTTTCGTTTTTGCAGGAGCAGGTGTACTCGGTCGCCTTTCGACCTCTCATGCCGTCCCAGCCACGGCTGTTCTCAATTATATCTGTATGTCGTGCATCGATTTGTGAGTTCCACCTGGTCCAGTCGATACTGAAGGCAACTTTTTCAAATGGCCGTGGTGCAATGAGACCGCTGCACATAGGTGGTGGCAAGGCACCACTGAGGATGACCCTTCTCGGGAGACCATTGTCGCTTTGAATGCTGTCGTTATGGATGCTAAAACACGATTGACGGTCGCACTTGTTCTTGTCTTTTGCGCCGTTGGGACACCAGCGATAAATGCAGGGCTGATTGAACAGTCGGCATTGATCGCAAGCTTGGACGTCATTGCAGGGCAGACCGTGAGCGTAGCAGTGATCACACATTAGCTCGATCGTGATCGGCTCAGCGATCAATTCTGTTTTTGCGAGGGGCATACATATTGGAGCGACAGTCTGGTGAGACTGGTCGCATTAGCTTCTTATCACAATTGAGATCGACTTGTAACGTACAATTCTGCGTCTCTTGCCGCTCTTCAGGTCTGAGACAGGCTTATCGGGGTCCTTAAGTTTCTGTCTCCTCGGTCTCTTGGGCGCGTCAGGGCTTACAAGATCCAGCTGATGTTCCTCTTTGGCTGTCCATTCATTCCAGGCTTTGAACAGGAGCCCCTTCGCCGCTGTCAAAGATCCGGCAGCAGGTGCTGGAGAATCATCGAGCATAGGCTGTAGGATGGCAAGTAGGTCGCGATATTGCTGGCAGCGTCCGCAGAAGCAGCTGAAGGTTTGACCCAAGGCCCGAGGGGTTGTCATGGCGGACGTGTGCCAATGTAGCCGTCATTCACCGCCTCTTCCAGCATTGTCCTTGCGTTCTTTTGCCTCTCTTCAAGGAACCACTGCCATGCGCTCCCGGCAGCAGTGTCATCGCTGTAATATGCGCGCGGCATGCGACCCCATCCGAGGTATTTGGGCAACTTTCCAGGAAGCACAACCCACGAAGGGTCACCCGCGCGAGTATTCATATTGTCCTCGTGAACGTACCGGCAGCTGTATCGCTCGCAGGCGGCCTTTGATGACTGGCTCAGGTGACACCATCGGTGGACGCAAGGCTGATTGTAGTGTTGGCATTGATGGCAGACGGACGCCTCATTGCACGGCAGACCGTGGGCCATACAGTGATCGCAGACCATGAACTTATCATCGTCGTCCTCGAAATTACTGGAATTATCTTCCTTGTCGCTACATTGACGATGTTCGCGGACCTATGAGATATATTAGCTCTGCTGTTGTCGACATACGAGGATTCGTACTCACGTCTGAGCCATCCTCCCTGGGCCCGCGAGTATAGGATTGTGGCACTATGATCCTCTGGTTGATGGTTCCATCTTCCTGAAGAAGGAAATGTGGATTTTGGTACTGATATCGTGCCCAAGCTTCCTTGATGCACACCCCTGCGTCGAATAGCGATTTGGCGGCGTCTTCGCCATAGTAGTAGTCCGCTAGACCGCGGACATCTACAATCTGCTCGCGAAACCTGGCGCAGTCCTCGCAGTAGCACTCATCAGGCACACTCGGCGCGTCTGGCTCGTAGTTGAACTGGCCAGCGATGGATGGCATGTCTGCTTGACCAGAAAGCCAGCTGTATGGTGGTGATTCTGCGAAGATGCTCTGAAATGATTGGAATCATCGGCTTTCGGATCTTGCCGGCTGCCGACTTTCACATGAGAGAAACTGGAATACACTCACATCGTTCACATTTTGCAATTCTTGCGCTACGGGATTCAGCTTGACTCCACAAGCTACCATTTAAGCGCGCTCTAGGAGTCAATATGTCTCATCATTTTTGGGTTTAGCTCATCCTTGCACCCTGAAGGTACGACCGCTAGCTGTCTTTCTCTCCTTCTCATCCGTCTCAGGTCTAGCTCTGCGTAACACTGTCGCGATGTCAGCAGGATGAACAAATAATGCGTGTGCTAAATCTCACCTTGAAGGAAGTCGGCCGTCCGTCTTCGCATACGGCTGTGGATGTATGCTTTGCTGGCCTTGATGTGGTAGTGGAAATAATCGCGGAACGTCTGGATGTGAGAGATGACTTCGAATCGCTTCTGGGGAGTCAAGTGTCGTGGGAATAGAACTGTAGAGTTGTCAGCAAACATGTTTCCGAAGTGCATCGCTCCAAGTTACATACCAAACGTGATGTATCCAATCTTGTCTTTCCCGCTCTGCAATCCGGGAATGCCTTGCAGCTCCAACGGCGGATCGTTTCGGAACATGACTTGAGGCGCGTTCTGGATAGCTCTCCTTCTGGCGTCTGCAAACTCCTGCAGGAACACCTTGCCGTATATCCGATCTGTCTCGTCCGAGAAGATTGTGCTGAAGATGACAGTCACGCGATCATGCGAGGCCTTGATATATATCGCTTCCTGGTCCCGGTAGTGGATGGCCCGCACCTCACCACCTTCCTTGACGCCCTGAGGTGCGGTCTCGCTGGTGTAATGGCTTGCTTGCTCTGCTAGCGACGTGTACTCATCAAATGCTTGTTCGAATGGTGCAGCCATAGCGTTACGTTTCAGCAAGCTTATCCGCTTTATCAGGTCATCCTTCTCTTCTTGCGATGCTGGGAGGGTTTCAAGATCGACCTGAACGCTGAAGTCGTATCCAGATTCCGGTTGCACGATATATGGACCGTATTCCCGCTCCAACACTGCCTGGGCGCCATACTGCACCAATTCTTGCCAGCATTTTACGGCGATCGAGATGAGGATCTGGGTCTTCGAGCTTGGGGTGGAGATGTGAAATGTGACATTGTCAAAGTCCGAGACCACTTGGTCTATCGAGGAAGGGGTGGAGCTGGTTTTATGGTGTTAGTGTACCGCTATGCGACAGAGCATTGGAGTGATCGTACTCTGGCGAGAAGCGATCTTTAAGCAGCGACTCAATGAGGACGTTTTGATAGTCGAGAAGAAGCATGGTGCTGGCTCAGTAGCGGTATGCTACACCTAGAGGTTGTTGTGTGAACGGATCAAAGTGCAACAATAGTCGTCTCTGGTATATGCCTGCCTGATGTCGTCGCTGCCAAGAGCAAGGTGGGCTGGGCTGGCAGGTGCGGCTCTGCGGAACGAAGTGGGGCCGAGCGTTTCTTTCCTCTCGCAACATGCTCCTTTGCTTTCCCTCCCTGCGCTCATCCATCAATCAACAACATGTGCATCATCGTGCTTGAGCAGCCTTCAGTCCATGATTCACCTGGAGACCAAGATGAGCTCAAGAACCTCACTGGGCCGCATTTGACATGCATTTACATGAATTGCAGATGGTTGCGCAGAGCAGAATCATGATTAGGCTGGATCAAAAAGACATATATTGGAAAGCGATCTGCGATAAGATGATGCGAAGGCGCTGTTGCGATGCTTGTAGTCATCTGCCGTCTACAAGGTCAAGTCCACAGTTCCGAATAGCACTCTATCCTCCAAGCTCAACTTATCGACATCTATCTTTTCACTATTTGGGCCATCACCTCCGAAGAACGGTCTCCTGGCGGGCAAGCAATGCTTCGAAGTGTCAAGGCAGTCCTCTAGTCTGGAACTCAGCCGCCGCCGTATGACCTTCGCCATCGGTGATCAACAGGCCACATCTCTTGAACTTGGAAGCGGCTGTGCATCAACTTGGCAGACGGTAGGCCTGTTACGCCATCAACGATATTGCTGCTGAAAATCACCGGTTTGGCGGTGACGTTCAAGTAAACTCCGAGCTTGTCGCTGAGCGCCAATCGAAAATAATCGGCCAGTTGGGCAGATTCAGGAAGATCGTGGCCCATTGGTCACCAATCCACGGCACGACATTGTGCGGCACCTGCTATTGCTTCGTCAAAATATCATGTTGAGAGTAACGCATTGTCTGTTCTCCTGCTGGAATCATGCTCCTCTGGTCTAATATCAACGTGGTCAGCGGGTTGCGCACATCACAGCAAAGTCAAGATACTCACAAGAATTTGCAGCGGAGGTAAACGACGTTGACGGATCGCTTGGGTCAAACGAGCTTGACAAAGGCTCGCTTGAAATCACATTGTGAGGATGTTCTTCGTCGGTCATCTTGATCATTGAGGCTTGGCTTGCAATCCTGACCGCAGGATGATTCACAAGGGATGCACATACTTGTTTCAAAATAGCTGCAAGAGTGCCGTTACCTTGCGAAAGGCTAGCGAAAGCCTCAGCTGGTCCTGGCCAAGAATTCAAAGAGCCATAACTTGGTCCGAGAAGCGTAACCTTCACCCAGTTGAAGTCGATGATATCCGGCTCATTCGCATCGGAGCCTGGAACAAGGATAGGATAGGACCATGTTCTTCAATATCGCGAATAATACTCCACTCCACAAGCGCTCCTCGGTGTCACGAGAAGAGTTAGACGTCTTTGAATTGCTTCTGTACCCACGATAAAGATAGATCATTTTGGGGCCGCGGAGAAATGATGTTCCTGCTGTACCTGAATTGGCCCTGGCCAGTAATTTGGGAGGTGACGTCTTTCGTGTTTCAACCAAGAACTCGTCTTACAACCAAGCACTTGACAAGTTTCTTTCGCAACCATACTGCAGTCAATTCACGCAGACGAAGAACAATGGACAAGCTGAAGAAGTTGTTTGGCGGCCACAAGGACCAGTCGACCAGTTCGACCCCTGCCTCTTCTTCCGCACAATCTGCGCCCATAGCCCCTGGCGACCATGTCGAAGGCGCTAACAGCGTTGTCCTCCACACCACGCTAGGCGATATCACCATCAAGTTGTTCTCTGACCAAACTCCACGAGTACGATCAATCATTCTACTCCTTTCTTGTGCACCTCCAAACTGACATAGTCTAAAGACCTGCAAGAACTTCGCCACTTTGGCTAAGACTGGCAAATATGACAACGTCATCTTTCACAGGATTATTTCAGGCTTCATGATTCAAGGCGGTGATCCCACTGGCACTGGTCGCGGAGGCACATCGATCTATGGCGAGAAGTTCGAGGACGAGTTTGTGCCTTCTCTCAAGCATACCAAGAAGGGCACTCTCTCCATGGCCAATGCCGGACCCAACACGAATGGCAGTCAGTTCTTCATTACCTTGGGCCCGACTCCACATTTGAATGGTAAGTGCTGGAGTGTGGAAGATGGCTAGTGCCAAGTCTATGCTAATAAATTCTGCAGGCAAGCACACTGTTTTCGGCGAGGTCGTTCAAGGCATGGATGTTGTTGACAAGCTTGGTGCTGTCGCGACTGATTCTGGTGATCGACCAAAGAGCGAGGTCAAGATCAACAGCTGCGATGTTCTTTAATAAGATCACTCTGCGCGTGAGCAAAGTTTTTGTCGAAATGATACTCGATTGGTGAGCAGGTGTCTCTTGGATCATCTTACGTTTCATGATTTCACAGCGTGGGTGCAGAGCAAATTCGAAGCGACGGAATACGATATCTCAAAGCAGCGATGTTTGAACGTTGGAATTTCGACCCATGCGCAAATGTCTCGAATTCTATGCGCCATTACCACGATATCGCTCCATAAAGAGGAGGAATGAGTGTATTGGGATGTCGCTGGCTTACCTTCTTCAGCTCTTGGCTGTTGGTGTCTTACCTTCTCCAGCTCCTTGGCTGTACGACGAAGGGTGCGTGTCTACATGTAGGGCTGGCACGCCTTGCATGAGACCAAAACGCCACATTCATACGCCTTCGCTTCGCATTCGCATCAGTGCCCTACTGGCTGGGGCGTCCAGCACGATCCAGACCAGAACAGATACACTGGGCCCAACACGTTAGTCAAGGTCTCCATCTGGCATTCGCTCAAGGCGCCAGTATTCTAGAATACGGGTACCTGTAACGAGATCCTGTTCGCCTTTGTGGTAATCCGAGGAATATATACGAGCTTGTCCGAACGCATGGCAGAGCAGATTTCCAATTTGTTCTTCCAGAAGACCTTGTATTGGATGACAATTTCTCGGGCTTGAGATGACACTCCGAACAGGGCGATGAAGCAATCGCTGTGAAGAATATGGATGAACCGGATACTCAAAGTTTTCAATATCTGAGCACAGCTTGGCAGCCACGTAGTGCAGTTCTTTCTGAACTACCTACAGCTTTCCACATATCCCACGGTATGCTATGCTTCTCATGACGCACGACATGAAATACGGCGAGACCTGTCGAATAAGGCTTAATAAGCTGCACTTTCACAATCCTTCGGCCCGCAAGGGGCGTAGATCCTTGCTATCATAGTCGTTAGACCCCGGCCTTGTGCATGAGCTGAGCGCCTGCGAAACTTCCTCCGCCTCGCTCGCGAGAATCCTTCCTGCATCATTGCCAGATTGCGCAGTATCGGCAGGATCAGCTGGAATAATGCTGAACCATCGACTGAATCAACAAAAGGGAGCTGCTCCCACCTGGCACTCAGGTCTTTTTCGAGATGGAAAAGAAAGAAGTCGGGTCCTCGCCGCGCTCCTCGATAGCGTCGAGCCGAGCAGCCTCCCTCTCCTCCAATCTGACAGCCGAGACATTGGATACACCCTCGGTAAATTTTCACAGTATGATGGGTGATGCTGGCCAAAACGGAAGTTATGTTGTTAGCCAACCATCACTGCCGTCTGCAGCTCCATCACCGCTGCCATCCATTGCTCCTTCAGAAGCAGTTCCAGCAATAACCTCCAGAAGATTTGTGATCTGTGTGGATGGTGCGAGTTATAAGCCCGACGCCAATAGCATCCCCACGAACATCTACCGAATATACACCAGCATCAAAAACGGCAAATGCGTGGACCGAGATACCGGCATTACTTACCATCAAGAGCCCCTTTACTATGCCGGAATCGGTGGCGCTGACGATGTGCTTTCGAAGGATCGATTACAAGCTGGCGTCCTGGGCAACCCATACCAAGACCAGATACGGAACATCTATGAAAAGTGCTGTGAGCTGTCAGGGCCACACGACGAGGCTGTATTCTTTGGATTCTCGCGCGGAGCATACGTCGTCCGGGCTGTCGCAGGACTATTGCATCGCTTTGGTGCTTTGATCTCAGCAGGCTCGCCAGAATTCGGCAGGAACTACAAGAAATTATTGAAGGACTTGGGTCATCCCTCACTGAGCTCTACAAGCAACCTTTCGCTGGCACATGTGCGCGTGAGATCTGGAAATTTGCGCTAAAAACGATATCTTTCTGACGTGAGACTAGGCTGATTCTGTATCCTCAATCTCGACGATCACGACACAAGAGCTCCGCCCATCTCCAAACATACGATTTCTTGGAGTTTTCGACACCATCAAAGCGGTGGATGACAGTCATTTCGATATATCCTTCAACAGCTCAATCAAGCACTTTCGACATGCCTTGGCTTTGCACGAGGATCGGAGAGCACTTCAACCCGAAGAAGTGCACCCACCTGAATTCTATGGCACAGAGCTTCGGCATTTCGGCCGCAGCTTCGTGCAGGCTTTGTTCATCGGCAGTCATGGTGATATGGGCGGCGTTTCAGAGAAGGCAGGCCTTGGGCTCTATCCTCTACAGTGGATGATTCTGGAAGCTAATGCGTGCGGGACATGGATCGACTTCGAGGGAAAGACGCCGACGAAGATCGGTGGCCTGATCGAAGGCCCTCTGGAAGTGGTATTTCCCAGGTCAAGAAGCGGCGAAGACACCATCAAGTCTTCGTTCACAGCGGCAAATGGCCTCGTGACCACTCTTCAAGACCTTCGCATCGTGCATGATCAAGCGAAATCTCGACATATGTATGGAATTAAGCTTCACATGAGGCCTGGCACAATCAGGATGAAAAAGCAGCGGGCGCCTTTTGACTCGAATGGCTATCTACGCGGATACTGTGACTTTGCGCCTCAAGGTACGATTGTGCACCCATCTGTGTATCTTTTACTGGACGAGCACATAAATGTGGCTCTGGACACCAAAGAGGCCAAGCTGCAGAAGCATCTCGAGGAATGGCGCGAGAAGATGCTCGGGATCAAGAACGGCCATGTCAATTTCGGATTCTGGGGAGAAGAAGAATCCGATGCGTCGGGAGAATTGGGTGCAATCAGAGTGTTGGTCTGTGGGAATACCGGAGTGGGCAAGTCGACGTTGATCAACAAGACCTTTGGAGTCGAAGTCACCACAAGCTCTGATCGGACGCGAGGCATCCATGATGTCAAGCAGGAAATCAAGTTTGACGGTAGACCTGATCTAATCGTGCATGATTCCGGCGGCTTTGAGGCCGGAGCAGACGCCGAGTTCATAGCCATCGAGGAGTTTCTCAAGGAGAAGTCAGCCACAGAAGGCATCCAGGACCGCTTGCATGTCATCTGGTTCTGCATTGAGATCAACAGCGCCAGGACCTTGCAGACGGCGACAGAGAAGCTATTCCAGGCCGTCAGCAAGTATGCGAACGACGTTCCCATCGTGATTGTAGCCACCAAGAAAGACGATTTCTTGGATATCGAGTTTTCGGCGAAGCGTAAGGAGTTGAAGAAGAACAAGCAGCCCTTTGATGAAGACTTATGCGATCAGTATGCGGCAGACAAGCTGCAAGAAAGGCTAGAATCTGTGCGAAAAGAAATGCAATCCGTTCCGGGTGGTAGACTGGACGCTATCGTGGGAGTGAGCCAAGGTAAGGATAAATATCTTACTCTCTGCAGTTGTAGAATTGTGGCCAATGCTAACGAGCTCCTTCACAGATGACGAAGAATCGATCGCATTCCTGAGCAAGACAACGTCACATTGCTTTGACGTCGACAAAGTACGCCTGCTCTACATCCGAGCCCAAGTCACGCGCATCGATCTCAAAATTGACATGGCAATGTGTGAAGTTATGCGCCGCTATAAAGCGGTCGTCCGAACGGCCAGCGGAGTCTCCTTCTCGCTCGCGGGTTCGACGATACATCGGAAGAATGCTGCGACCAAAGTTTGCAAAGCGATCATAAACTGTTTCGGCTTACCTGGAGTTTCCGCCGACAACGCCATCACCGCCTTGAAGAAGAACGTCTGGACGTACACCGGCATCGATCCATTAGTATCCATCGCAGAAGCCATAAACCTGTTCGAATACATAGGCAGTGGCTTCGCCGGCGGCATTCCAGCCTGGCTCGTGACGGGCGCCATCTCACTCCCTCTCGTCGTACCAGCGACATGTCGACTCTTCCTCACAATGGCCGCCGACCTCATCCTCGTCCTGATCCGCGCATTCAAAGAAGCCACATTCCGAAACAGCGGCCAGCCACAAGAACGAGACGTCCAAGCCGCCGCTCGAATCTATCGTGTCCGCGGCTATTCCTCGCACATCCACAAAGACATAAAAAAACTCATCCCTCGACACAACCTCGCTGCGAGTTACAAATTCGACACAGTCGCAGAGACACTCGAAGGCATCATTGCCCGGTACAAAGACAAATTAATCGACGACATGGATAGTTCTATCATCCCAGACATGCCAGCCGTGGCCATGAAACTCCGAGGCGGAGCAGACGACGACAACGATGACGAAGAGGAAGACGATGATCAAGATCCACACTCCTACCAAGAGCTCACCACAGCGATGTGTAAAAAAGCCGCGGAATTGGAAGGTAGTCCAGCAGCCGCCGAACTCCCTGCGAATAACCCTCCAGTAGTAGTCGCAGAACTCCCGACTGCGGACTCACAGAAACCTGCTGAATTGCTAGGCGATACTACGAGAGCGGAATTGCCGGCTTCGAACGAAGACGACATCAAGACTAGAGCTTCTCCGGTAACTAGTTGTAGTTCCGGAGATCGAGACTACTACTAATAAGAAAGTTCTTAGCTAGAGAATCGATAGGAGCAGAAATTTTGTCTTTTATTCTTATTAGGTCCGCGAGAGTTAGTTACTTATTCTAATAGAGAATCCCTCCTACCTACTTCTTCTACTCTAATAAAGACCGAAGTGCTTTATAATAATAATAATATAGTAGTAGTAAGTTAAACCCAGGTAGACTTTTACTTAAATTTAGCAACGACCTAATTAAACGAGGAAAGAAAAAATTTTAAAATTGCATTCAATTGAACAAGGGTGCCACGAGATACATGACTCGAGTCAAGATGTATGTATACAAGGAAAGCCAGAACTTAGAATGGAGTGCGGGAAAGGAAAAAAAAAACAAGGTTGTTTTTGTGTTTGTTGTTGTTGTCGTGCTAGCGAGACGGGACGCGTCGTGGTGGTCGTCGTGGTCGTCGTCTGACTCGTGTCGCGTGTTTTTAGAGTCAAGAGTCAGATTCTTTGGGTTCGTTCCATGATGATGGTGATGGACTTTGGATGCGCAATCATTAATGGTGTGGTGTGGTGTGGTGTATATCTACACAATAATGTCCCTTAATAGACTTCCATTGATCGCTGGCTGGCTGCCATGTCCATGCTTCACACCGCTCTCCTCTCCTCTTGTTGTAATAAACGCCAAACCCTCCTCGACCCGTCCGTCCGTCCGTAAATGCATGATTTCGTCAAAGGCGCCTGAGAAATGCACAAATGAAGCGCGAAGCACGTTTGGCCTTTCTCCATTGCAGCGCGGTCGCAAGTCGCCAAAGCAGCTAAGTTTCCTCGCAGAATTCCGCGACAATAGTAGAGCTGCAGATGTCTGCAGCTGCAAATCCGGGTGTGCAGGGAGGGCGGCGCTGGTTCGATTGGGTTCAGTAATATGGTAGCCATCTTGAGCAGATGCGCTCGCTCGCTCACACACAATCACTGCTGCTGGGCTTGGAAATTGATCGGTCTCCTGCAACAACAAACGAGCAAAGATTAGCCAACCAATGCAGGAAGATAATCATGATAGCATGCAGACTCACTTGAACAGCAGAATATGCGGTTCCGGTTCATGCACCTCGTAGTGCTCCCAGCCCAAGCTCTGGGTGATACCAAGACCTCTCCACTCATCCTCCCACAGCAGCTTCAAAGTCCCTCTTGCGCCATCGAAGTACTCTTTGGGGATCGCTTTAAGCATCTGTTTGGGTAATTGGACGTGGCGGTATTCGAAGTGGTCGTCGCTGTACCTGTAGATGGGGGAAGCTTCGTTAGTGAAGACGTCCATCGTGATTCAAGTAGATCGCACGACACACCGCGAAGAGTAGTGAATCGAATCAATGAACTCATCCAGCTTGTCCCTCTCCGCATCTGTAAGCAATCGTGCCTTCTTGTTCCGCCGCGTGTAGTCGATATCCAGATTTGCCGACATTTCTGCTATCTTCTGTCGTGGTGTATTGCAAGTCCTCGCGCGATCTGCTGTGACGTGAACGCAATGATCACGCAGTCGAGTCTGCGCGCGCACCCGCCGGCGCAATGTCGATCAAGTTCGCAGTTGAGATGTGCCAAAGGGGTCAGGCGTGCAGTAGTGGGCGTGTGTGATTGACAGTCGTAAGATGTTGTGTAGCGTGTTGCAGGTCCGCGATTAGCTTGCCTGAGAGGAGTTGGCTGGCGGGTAGCGGTGAAGGTGCAGTGCGGCGCGGCGCGTACGGTAATCGCACGGAATGAGAAGATGGCAAGTTGGAAGTATGTTGGGAGACAGGCCGACGTCTGATCGCAAAAGTTGCAAAAGAGAAAAAGCTGATGCGTCTTTGTTTACTTCGAGAAGTGACGAAAGGAAACACGCCGCACGTGCCTGCCACACATTCTCCGGGCCGAGCCCTTTTCGAAGCACCGATCATCACACATCATCACGCTACTTGTGATCGACGTTTCGTCTGTCGTGTGAGGGAAGAGGGCGAGAGAGAGAGAGAAAAAGTCACGATCTCAGTCAAGATTTGTGCAGCTTTTCGAGCCAACGATTCCATGTACAACTGCCTAGAGATCCTACGAGATATGTAGCTCAAAAAGCAACGACCAAGATGATATTCAGAGTAGATATAAAAGGGAAAAGGAGTCCGACAATCGAGGACCTGCCAAAGCACAGTACTGTCAAGGATAGACAGGTCGTAACGCCGAATGTATCCCCTTTTCAGTCAACCATAAAATCGTAAGTTCCCTTCTCAAATGAGTGGACGGCAGATCTTCCAAGAAGCACACCCGCCCAAGGGTCGTGAGTCTAGTCGTGAAAGAATCTGCCTGAGATATAAACGCAAGGAAAGACTTGGAGTCAGACAGTGCAAGAAATGGGCATGAAGAGAGCGTGCATGCGGGCGGTCTGCGTATGATGTGTTCTCCGCGTTGGCTGACAAGCTCGGTCAAATGGTCGTTCAAGCTTTGAGATTCATCGCATCTGCAACCCTATCGATTTCCTGATCGACAGGGTTCGATTGCTAACGCCAGCATGAGGGGGCAGAGCTAGCCGCCTATATCCAGACTGTTTCCTCGGCGCGGAAGCATTCGCAGATGGCGCTGTGGATCTCGCTGAGGTAGTCCTCGGCACTGAAAGCAGCCAGTCCGTTCGCTTTCATGTAAGCAAGGTCTTCTTCGGCTTCGGCATCTCTCACAGCAAGGCTCAGCTCCTCGACCACTTCGTCCAATTGTGCAAGCTCATTGCCAAATGGGCTCTCCTTTGGCGCTTCCACCGGTGGAATGTAGCCGGCAAACATGTCCGTGGAGTCGCGAACCATGCTTGTTGGTGGAGATATCAGTCGCTGGACGGAGCGCTTGCGATGCACAAACTCATGCGCCTTCTTTGAGTGCGATGGTACCCGCTGCGGTATTCTTGGCGCATCGAAGGAGGAATGTACGGATGAGCTTGGCGTGTGGATAGAAGTCTTGGTATCGACAGCAGGCTTGAAGAAGCAGGTGAGATGGTTTGTTCCGGCTCCGCATCGATAGGGA